TAAAAACCGCATATAACCCGCGGGTTATATGGGTGAAAATACGGTAGTTGTAAAGAGTCCTACAGTAGGCTGCCAAAGTCCTTTGGAATAAGGCTGATAAGCACCCACCTTTATCTTCCTTGACACGCTGCCGAAGACTTAATTGGCAATTAGCTTGGCAAGGCCATATGGAGCAGTGTCCAAACATAGTTTTATAAGGTAAACTGACCATCATGAACCAAGTTGCTTCCTGCAAATGCTCATGTGCCTTTGCTCCTCCTTTATGTCCTATGGGAGGGGCCAATCACCTCCAAACCTTACTCCTGAGTCGTCCCTTCTGTTTTAATTGTTCTTGCTTTCTGGCAGCTCTGTCCATGCGCACACTGGGAACAGGCGGAGTCTGTTCCTCTGCCTTGTTGCTGTCCAACTTGGAAGGCTCCGGAGGCAGCACATAACTCCCAGATGGCCCCGGCCCCCTCTCTTCCTCCGATGCAGAGCCCTCATCCAAGCCTTCCCCAGACTCCAGGACTGGCCCATGTTCCTCCTGCTGATTCTGCAGTTCTTTGCCACTTCCAGCAAAACCATAAAAGTCCCTCTTCCCCTGCCGGAACCAACTATACGGTTAAGCAGAAATAGAACTGGCTAATACTTGGGTGAGAGGCCACCAGGGAACCTTACCTCTGTGAGTTGGGAGGGGAATCAACGGAAGCATCCCAGAGGAGGTGGGGGAAAAACACTTCCCTATTCTTGCTATGGGAATTGATTCTTGGTCCAATTTGTGCTCAGAGGGAATTCTAGAAGCAGCCCACTCCAGCCACCCTCCCCCCCCCCCGAGGGGCTGCTGTCTGAGCAGTCAAAGAAGGCAGGGCAAAACGTTAAACGGCAACACAACTGTTGTTGCTCTCTGAAGATAAGGGGTGGGAGTACTACCCTCTCCCCACGCAAGAGCTGCACCACGATAGTAGAGCTGAGGTGCTCTGGGAGACTACTTTCACGGAAGGGCTCTCACACCACTAAATGAATTACCTGGGCGCTGCCTTACTCAGGGGAGCAGCTGGCACCTGTTCTGTGTTGGCAACAGTAGCTCACTCATCCCCACTCCATGCTCCTTGACTTGTGAACTTGACGAATCTGCTACAAGCCTAATCCCTCCAATTCCACCTGGCTTCTCACCTGCATGTGTCAGACCAGCCCCAGTCTGATCCCTTAGGGAAATAGAACTCATTTGATTGACGTGAAAAGGCCCTTTTACTAAGAGATGCTGATTGCAGTAAAGTCAAGGAGAATTCCCGTGTGCCCATGCAGGACTAAACACCTGGTTTTTCTCTGGCCCTTCTGTATGGTCCGTCTCTGTGTAGCCAATCCAACCCCGGCTGAGTTGCTATGGGAAACTTGGAGGTGTTTGGACTGGTGAATTTCCACCATCCGGGCAAGCGGCCTTGAAGGTGCCAGTGCATCAGGACGAACCTGGTTCCAAACAGCTCAGTTCTTCCTCAACCGTCAATTTCCCCCCTCCCAATATCCTGCCATAAAGGTATACAGCAAATTGCCCATTTGTCGTCCCCCCCAACTTCCCCGGTTGATGACAGAACGGCGGCAAGGCGCCAAGCCGGAGCTGGAGGAAACTGACAGCATGCTGCTTTGATTGGAAACTCTTGTAAGCCAAACTTGCTGAACTCTGAGGGGAAATGTGTCTGTAGACTTCAAGTGTGTGTGCCTGCAAGGCTCGTTTACTGAAGAGAACAAAACTGGCCGTTTATGTATTCGTATGTGTTTGGCTTGGCATGGGAAAGAAATGGTGACCGAGAGGTGGCTTTGTAGCCAGCCCAGATCTGACACAAGAGAGACAGCGAACTTTCTAAAATATGCTCTGCTTCTCAAATTCTGCAGAACCTCATCTTTAGCTTGATTTAATGTTCTCCCCCAACTGTCCTGGAAGGGAAAATATAGAAAACCCCCACATGAAACCCGATGACGCCCCTATGATATGGGTGCCATAGAAACCACAGTTCATGTTCTTCTATACTGCCAGTACTACGGGGGCATTTTCCACCAGTTCATTACCGCTCTTTTATTTAAATTTTCTGGGGCATTCTGATCATTTTTATTTGCCCTGTCTGCTTAACAATCAAGAAAAAAAATATTTCTCTTAAAAGCAGCAAATGTTTGCTACATTATGGGTAAGCTTCACCCATAAGTGGTTGCCAGTAGTTCTTGTTGCTCAGAGATAGTTTTGTCTTGTTCATTGTATTGATTGCATTTTTACTGGTCAATGACTGAAATAAAATTCTTTGTCTGCTCTGATTCTCTTTCTTAGCTTTATTTGCAAAGCACTTTGTGAATGCTCTTGTTTTGCAAAGAAGTCATGCTTTGAATTACAGGGGACCGGAAAGGCCACAGAAAGGGAAATGATGCTGCTGCCCTCCCTCTGTCCTCTTGACAATTTGCTCATAACTGCCATTTTGCAGTTATGAGCAATTTTTTTTTGCATGCACATGTGCACACGCACTCACATACCAGTGGTGGGTTCCTCTCCTCGTTGCTACCGGTACGGTGCTCATGTGGCTGCACGTCCTTTCGTGCACACATGCTGTGCACACATGTGCACTCCACTGCCCCTGCCACACCCAGCTGCTTGTTGGAGTTCGCACAGGTGCCACACACTATGCACATGTGCGCAATAGGCCAGTTGCTTTAAAAACCAGTATAAACACGGGCAGGTGGGTGGACCAAACAAACCACCATACCGGTATGCTGTCAGCTGCTCCCGGCTACTACCGGTACAGCCGTACCAGCCGGAACCCACCACTGGCACACACGGAGATGTGGCTGCTTACAATTTCTCAAATGAGAGGGGATGTTTTCTGACCCAGACTAGTGGGGCTTTAATGACATAGATCAGTGATGGCTAACCTTTTTGTTACTGGGTACATATTTGTGCTTCCCGTTGCCTTCAGCTGTAGTAGAAAATATTTCCTGCTTACGTAGACTTACCGTATTTTTCGGAGCATAAGACACAGTGGAGTATAAGATGCACCAAGATTTTGAAGAGGCAAATTAAAAAAAGTTTTTGCACTCTGCAGATCTCCCAAAAATGGCCCTGGTTTTTTTTTTTCCCTCCCNTAAATTGTACAGATACAAGCAACAAAGTTACAGTCCTGTAGTCATAAGTAGGAGATGGGTGATCGGAACGATGACAAGACTAATAGTAATAGTAATGCAGCCTTAGTGAAGGGTTTGACAGTGGTGAGGGAATTATTTGTATTGCAGAATGATGGCATTTGGGGAAAAACTATTCTTGTGTCTAGTTGTCCTGGTGTGCAGGGCTCTATAGCGTCATTTTGAGGGTAGGAGTTGATTTATGTCCAGGATGCGAGGGGTCTGTAAATATTTTCACAGCCCTCTTTTTGACTCGTGCAGTGCACAGATGCTCCATGGAAGGCAGATTGGCAGTAATTGTCTTTTCTGCAGTTCTGATTCTTCTCTGAAGTCTGTGTCTGCCTTGTTGGGTTGCAGAGCCAAACCAG